AAAAGTGCGTCTTATAGAGCGAAAAATACGGTATTCCCTTCTAATCTTCTTCTTGACTTCACTGTGTTTGATGTTGTCAGCATGAAGGATGCCCAGGTATTTGTAGTGATCTTCTTCATCCAGACTCTTGATGTTATTTCCACAGAGCATCTTGATTCCTTCAGTTTTCTCTATTTTTCCCTATTGATGGTGAGGATGTCACATGAGTTTGAAGTTTAGTTTTACTATATTTGGGGTTGGCATCTCTTTTAAGTTTTATTCTTACACTATTTTTTTATGCTTGCATAACTTTGTGTTTCATTTCTAATATTATGTGGTTCATTTTTTTTTGTAAACCATAAATTCCTTATGATAGCAGTATAAAATTAAGTAAATAGACGTTATTTTCAAAGTGAAAGTACATTTCTTTAAAATGAAGTCTAATCTTCATTTTGTCCTTTAATTTTAATTACCTATGAACAGTTATATTTTTTAAAGTGTCTTTATCTTATTCTCATAATCCCCGCCCTTGGAAACAGGCATCCTTCTGCCAAGATCTGGCTGGCTTACACTTTTAATGTTATTTTTTGACCGTTTGTTCTAATATTGATGCTTTTAAGCTTGGTGAGTGGGTGGCCTTAGAAACTAAAAAAATAAACACATATTTTCTATATCACTTATTTTCTATATCTACACATTTGGTTTTTCCTGCCTAAGTGCAGGAATTTATTTTTGCATCACTGAATTGCATTTTGTTGGATAGAGCCCAGCGTTCTCAAGTCCGTCAAGGTCCTTCTGCATCTTGAGCTTATCTTCTAAATGTTGACTATTACCCCCAGCTTGGTATCTACAAATTTGATGAGTTCCCTTTCTATCCTCACATTTAAATCGTTTATGAAGATGTTGAAGAATAAAAAAAAATGTTGAGAATAAAATTGATCAGATAGAAAAATATGGAAGTTTTAGGTCCTCTGGTACATTATGATAGGTCCTTGATCTTTTGGGAGAAACATTTTTGGATAGTTATTAGGAGACATACATTAAATCTAACAGGATTTGCTTTTGAATATACCAGTGCTATTGCTAATTAAACTGTTGAATATCATGAACCTTGCACATATTATATCATAGTATATTTATTATACATTAAATTTCTTCAGACTTCTTGGGAGTTTTGTTCAAAAAGTTGATAAAAAGAAATTGCTCAGAATCACTATATACTAAATACAAATCTAATTATGTTTAATTGTTCTTTATATTGGAACTCTTCAGCATCCACTTGCTTCAGATATTTATATAAAAATTATGTCTGTGTATGTAAAAGAGAGAGAGAGAGAAAACACTTTTTAGTTTTTGGGCTCAATTGTGGTCATAAGTTGAGGACTACCTATAATCAAAAAGACAGGTAATATTTGATTTTAAGGATGTGCCTGCTGTACAGAGAAG